ACGGGTTTAATTGTCATGCCTACCTCCAAAGCACAAGTGTGATAAAATTAATAACATGATATTTTTCACGGTCATAATTAATTATGATGCACTAGAAATGGAAAAATGATTTTCTCTATCATAATTAATTATACTGGTAATATAATCAATTATGGCAATTCAAATTTGAAAAATATATTCGTTTTAAAGAATAAATGTTTTTTAATACATCCTGATTTTCTCTATGAGATTATTAATGTCCAAGAACCATTTTCTGATGCTATTTTTCTATTTAATTAAGTTTTGATGAAAAATCAAAAACACACAATTACAGAATTCGAAAATACAATTTTCATTCAATCAATTTTGAGAAAAGAATTCTGAGCAAGGCAATAGAGATATTTTACACCTTTTGAGAAAACCCTCTTCTTTATTGCCTTCTATGCTTTCATTGTTAATCACACTTGTTCTTGGAGATTGACATTCTACAAGCTTCTACAATTTGTTGTCTCCATTACCCTGGTGTGTCTGTTCTTATTTTTATTACCTTCATCCTTTTTGCATTGGTGGAAAAGGAGGTGTTTTTCATCCCTAGTGTGATTCTAGGGAGGGGTTCATCCTTAATGGGATTCTAAGGAGGTGTTTTTCATCCTTTGATTTGTTCAGAGGAGGTGTTCATCCCTAGTGGGATTCTAGGGAGGTGTTCATCCTTAGTGGGTTTCTAAGGAGGTGATTGTCTTTTTAATTAGTTTACTTTTTACTGGTTCTTCTGCTGAGTTGATTGTAATTTGTAAACTGAATTTGAAAGATAGTGAATGGGGAGTCACTCTTGTGTTAAGAGTTGACTGGGAACTGGATGTAGGGTTGGCTATACCCGAACCAGTATAAATCTCTGTGTGTTCTTCTCTTTCCCTTATCTCTTTCTCTTTTCATGATTATATTATTACTTCCGCTTTAACAAATTATTGACTCACAAATAAATTTTTAATTTGACATCTATTTTAATTTGTGCATCTATTCACCCCCCTCTAGATGTCATTTATCTAACAATATATACATGTTAAATGCTAAATAAATATAAGTTAAGAGTAGGTATCATGATACTCTGCCAAATTTGGTTCTTCAGTGTCTTTGGAACATGGTCCCAATCCTCAATAAGAATACTAACTTTGCTTCTCCCAAGCAAGGCCACATAGCTAGTGAATCTAGCATTATGCTCTCCCATGGCTCTACCTGTTTGCATGTCAAACGGGATAGGCAATTTCTGGTCGGAGCTACGGCTGATGGTCAAGTCCCTCAACCATGTAACACGCCTACCATTTTTTGTGGTAGACGATTGACTCTGATCCCCACCTTGTGTAGGAGGGGGGGTACCAGATGAATCTACTATATCTGTGTTCAAAGAAAAAGATAATAGTCATTAGCTTAGAAAGTATGACTCAAGATAAACAAAAATACATAAAAAACATCATACATTATCAAGTTGGAACATTCTCCCAAAATCCTTCCATATGTTCATAACGTGTGGCATGCACATCATCTACTTCTACATCAACACTCAAGTTTGCTATATTTGAGGAGAAACATGGTGTCTCCGGTGTATCAAGTACTAATTTATCATTCTCATCAGAAGTATACATGGGTTTTCCTTGGAGAACCACTGACCATCCTTTGTTAGCGGGATCAATGACATAAAACACTTGTTTTGCCTGAGATGCCATGATAAATGGCTCTTCGGTATAACGTGTATTTTCAAGGTCAACCAAGGTAAATCCAAGATCGTTGATGAAGATGTCATTTTTAAAGTCAACCCACTTACATTTAAAAATATGTACTCTGAATATCGTGTAATCTATTACCCAAATATCTTCAATTACACCAAAGTAGCCCATTGACACCCTTATTGGATATTTATCCTTTGAACTCGAGAAATGCATTGATTCACCCACCACCATGACTCCACTATTTTGCATTCTGCTTATTTCATCTTCTCCCTTTGTATAAAATGAATATATTTATATCATACCCACCCCATCATATCACATCAAAGTTTGGCTCACATGCTAGCCACTTTAGTGTATCAGAAGCTGTATTTTCACCTTCAACTTGTTGTTTAAACCACTTCAAAAAGCTCTTGTTGTGTTCAGTAATCACCCAATTTTTAGGCATATGTGGATTATTTCGCTTCAAAATGTCTTTATGAGCACTTAGGTAGGGGATGACTTCTTCAATGTTATTCAATATGTACAAATGTGCTTGAAGTACTTCATCTCGACACATTGTCACAACTTTTGCACCTCGAGTACCTCTACCAAGACCTATTCCATGGTAACGAGTCTTATGTAACCCTATAGCTTCAACTTCTGATAAGTATTATGTGCAAAACTCAATAGCTTTCTCTGCAATATATCTTTGAACAATTGGTGCTGCAGGACGATATTGGTTCTTCACATACCCTTTTAATATCTTCATGTATCGCTCAATAGGGTACATCTATCGTAAGAAGACTGGACCACAAATTCTAACTTCCCTGGCTAGATGAACAATCAAGTGAACCATAATATAAAAAAATTATGGAGGAAAGTACATCTCAGACTGACACAATATGACTGCAGCCTCATTCTCTAACTGATCCAAAACATCCGGGTCCATAACTTTACTACATATGACATTAAAAAAGAAGCATAATCGAGTTAAGGAATATCCAACATTGTCTGGCAAGATACCTCGAATAGCCACAGGTAGAACATGTTGCATCAATACATGACAATCATGAAATTTTAACCCAAGCAATTTAGATCTTTCATAGATACAAGTCTCTTCACATTGGAAGAGTAACCAAATGGAGCCTTCACACCTCGTAAAAACTCACAAAAACTTCTCTTCTCTTATTTAGACAGTGTGTGACATGTTGGTGGAAAGTATGTTCGGTTACCATGAGGTTGAGGAGCTAATTGTTCTCTTATACCCATTTCAACCATGTCCAAATGAGCATTGACACCATCTTTTGTCTTTCCTTGAATGTTAAGGAGTGTTCCGATGATACTGTTACACACATTTTTTTTTACTTGCATGACATCTATACAATGTCTGACATCAAGAACCCTCCAATATGAAAAGAACAAAAAGGATTGACATTTTCTTCCATATTCCTGTGGCTTTCTTTTGCGTCTTTCCAAACTCAAACGAAATCACACTCGCTCATTGATATACTTCCTCCCCACTTAAAGGTGTTGGGGCTGCATCATTTTCTTGACACCCGTTAAATTGTTTCTTTAATTTACGATACAAATGGTTTGAAGGAAGAAATCTCTGGTGTCCAAGGTACATTGGTTTCCTTCCATGTTGTAATTGATAGTGACATGTTTCTTCTTCACATATCGGGCAAGCTTTATGTCCCTTGGTGTTGTAGCCACTCAAATTACCATATGTTGTAAAGTCATTAACTGTACAAAATAACATTACATGCAACCTGAAAAAGTCACCTGTGTACCCATCAAACACATCAACGCCTTCCTCCAACAACATCTTCAAATCTTCAACCAATGGGCTTAAAAAAACATCATTGTCATTTCTAGGTTGTCTGGGACCCAAGATCATCAAAGATAACATCAAGTACTTATGTTTCATACACAACCATGGAGATAAGTTGTAAATCACTAACACCGTTGGACATGAACTATGTTTACTGCTTAAATTTCCATATGGATTCATTCCATATGTAGCAAGTCCAAGCCTAATGTTTCTTAGATCATTACAAAAATTGTGGAAGATGGAATTAATTTTTTTCCATTGCAATCCATCTGCCGGATGCCTCAACTGACCATCTTTAATACGACTATCTGCATGCCGCATCATTTCCATTAGTGAATAATCGTTTCAACCTTGGAACAATGGGAAGATACCATAACACTTTTGTCAGGATACCCTTCATTACATCATTTTCAGAATCACCATCCTTCTTCTTGTATCGTGATTCCGCGCATTGTGGACATTCATGAAAGTTCTCAAATTCTTTCCTGTACAACACACAATCATTCGGACATGCATGAATTTTTTGGTACTCCATACCCATTGGACACAATACCTTCTTAGCATCATAATTGCGGGTTGGCAATGTGTTACCTTTAGGGAGCATGTCACTCAACAACTCAAGCAATTATGTGAAACTTTTATCAGTCCACCCATTTTTTGCCTTCACATTGAACAATTTTAGTACTGGCAACAATCATGTGAACTTAGTGCAATTTGTATACAAAGACTTTTCTGCATCATTGGACAACTTCCCGTACACATGTGTATGTTGGAAGGCATCTTGTCCAAGCTCACGAATTATTTCCTCCAGCTGATCATCCATCTCTAGATCAAATTCTTCTTTGTCTTCTACACGTGGCATGTTTAATAATTCACCATGCCATGTCCACTTTATGTAACTCTTTAGGAAACCATCACAAAGAACATGCTCCCAAATAACTTCAGTCAGTAATCTTTGCTCATTCAAACAGTTAACACACGGGCAATAAAATCTTCCATCATTATCTGGAACATTCATCCTTGCAAATTCAAGGAATTGTTCTACTCCACTCTCATATTCATTTGTTGTTTGTCTATAATTGATCCAACTCCGATCCATTGTTACCTTTTGTGACATAACACAACACATAAGTATAGATTTAGAAACTTTCAAGGGAAATATAAAATGAGATGATAAATGGGTCATTGATGAAAGTACAAAATGTAATCAAGGATGAGAGAACAAGTGATTTTAACACTTGGAGAACAAAATTTGAAAATAGGTCATTGATGAAAGATATTTCGCTTGATCACATCTCAGACAATCTATCCTCTAAGAGTAGCAGCAGAGAGAATAATGGGACTAATGATCAAATGCTTGAATTGTGGGAAACTGATAAGTAGGACTGCTATCATAGTTCAATGGTTAGTGAGACTATGAAACTAACTTCTTGTTGATAGGATGATTGCAGTTTGAGGTGCATAACATCCAATATGTTTTGTTGAAAATGGCTGATGAAAAGAAGAATAAAGGGCACAACAAAAGTAGAAACAAAACATGTTTTTGTGGATGCTCAAGGGCTTCAAAACACCTGCACTCGAGGACATTTTAGCTAAGAAGTTGCGATCTCACATGATTGGATATTTTAATCTTTCAATAGGAAGTTCAATCCTAGAGTGGATGATTATATGATTGACTCCAATCAAGGCTCACCGTCTTGTCTCACATTAGGGTGAGCATAAGTGAGGATAGTTTTGACTTAGAATCTAGCTACTAGATTATAATAAAAATCTAATTTTCAAAATCAAAATCAAGAAAGAAAGTGACTTAAAATCTAGCAACTAAATTGGTTAAAGGTCCCCCGTGATCTTTCCCTATGTTGATAGCATTATCACAAACCATAATCTGGTTACAAAAACACATTCAAATGGCTAGAGTAGGTATGAAAACATACCTCTTGAAGACTTAGAATCAAAACTCGTAGCGAAGGGCACCAACGACAGCGGCGATAGTAGCAGCAAGTGGCGCGACATACAACGGCGACAACAGCAACAGGTGGAACAACATACAAAGCCGACAACAGCGGAAGTTGGCGCAACGACAACAGTAAGTGGCGTGATGGCAGCAGCGGGTGGCGCAACAAACACCGGCAACGACATTCGTAGTAGAGACAAAGAGAATGGGGAGCTCTACTATGGGTGAAGTGATGAAATGGAGTGGTGAGGGCAAAGTAAAACAGAAGATACTATGTTGGTTGCCCAAATACCTGTCATAAAATACACTTTCTATGTCCGTTAAATTTTAACCAACATAGAAAGTGAATTTTCCCACATACCATGTCGGTTACATAATAACCGACATAAGAAGTTCATAAAATTATTACAAAAATGCCACCGCCCTACATACTATGACGACTGGATTACAACTGTCATAAAAAGTCATCATAGAAACATATTTTTCCACTAGTGTGTAGAAGAATGTAATATGTGACCAAATGCATTGTTTTGAGCATCTATTATTGATGTTGGAAACAAAGCCATCCAATAACACTAAACAACTTAAGGTTACAAATGAGGATTTGCTAATTCAATCAAACATGTTAATATCTTCTTAGACTACCAAAATATGTTGCAAAATATTATTGTATGTAATGTGTCCGATAACTACACCCACTTGTCAGTTATGATTGTGGATTGTTTATTTTAAAATATATGGAATTGTTGGATGGTGTGATCAAATTGAACGGGAAAAGTATGCTTGATTACACATCGGTAAACATTAAATTGGTATTATTAATGTAGTTCAAATTTTTAATAGTACCAGTATAATTTATTCTGACATTCCTTACATTTGCACAGGAAGAACTTAAAAAATTTCAAGAAGAATATGTATGCAGATGGGTACTTCATCATCAAAATCTTCATCAAGAAGTGGTTGCTCTTGATGTAGGAGTTAACAACCCCATTTCAGAATAGAAATCTTAATATTCTATTTGATGACTTGTTGATCTTTGATGTTCAATTTTGTACAGTTTATTCATATGTAATGTAGCAGTTAATTTATTTTTTGATCAGTTAAATGCTAACTACTACAATACTAAGATATGAAAATTTGAACAATTCAGTAAAATTATACATATATAATTTTGTTTACTATTCACATGATTACATTAAATTGATTATGTTTACAATTGCATTATTAATTGTATCTTAGTGTAGACCCCAAATCTTGCCCAACCACTCAACAAGTTAAGAAATCCTCTACTTTGAAGATGGACAAGGCTTCATAGGGCCCCTAGTAGTGTTAGCTAGGCTCCATTTAAGAAAAAGCAGGGTTTTCTTAGAAAATAAAAAATTATAAATTTTGTCAGAGAATTCGGGACGACCGTCCCAAATTCCAGACGGTCGTCCCCCCTGTGTGGATTGCTCGAGGCGGCCGTCCCAAATTTGGGACGACCGTCCCACCCTCTTTGGTAGCATGGGACGGTCATCCCATATTCCCAGACGACCGTCCCGACTGACAAAATCCAGGACGGTCGTCCTGACCTCCTGGGTGAGAGAACCTATAAATAGGACTCTAATTCTCACCATTTCACACACTTTCTCACACTCTCTCATATTTTAAGACACTTTTGGGCATTTTTGCATTGTTCCAGAGGTCCGAGTAGTCTTTCCGATAGTCCATTTGGGCAAAATCGATTAAGGAAGTCTCCTTTTGATACATCCAACTCTCGGGAGTTTAAGAATTTTATTGTTGGAGGGAGGAGCATTCTTGTAGAGCGAGGGGACTACCAAAAAGTGTCCTCAAGTTTGAAGATTTATAAAAAGCTCGCTTCGGAGGTTCTTTTCAATTCCTTCTCTTTTATTTCTTTCCTTTTATCGCTTTCCTCTGTGTGCATTAGAAATTAGGGCCATGTAAATATTTATTTAAATAATGCAAGTAAATAAATAGGGTAAAAGCATAATTTCTATATCTTTATTTTTAGAACTAATCTATCATAGGGAACCCGAAAGGGGCATTGTGGGGTCCTAACACCTTCCCCACACGTAACTAACTCCCTTACCGAACTCTGGTTATAATGACTAAAGTTGGTTTTTCTAAACCAATGCCTTTTCTTTTTCCTTTTCCAATGTTTATGGTTAAAACATTGGTGGCGACTCCATAAGAACCCCTTTTTACAAAAACCTCATTTTTAAGGATAGTTTGGTTACTGAGCATCCTAAAAGCGATGACCATATTTTAGAAAACGCGAGTCACAAAATCATCACGTCGCGACCGCTCACATATATTTTTTCCCCGTGCCGTACGGTAGTGACACTTAGGCATGATTATCTTTGGATAATACACAAATTATGTTTGGCATGATTACAACCATTATTATGACATGCACAATACACAGGTTATGTTAAATGTTTGAACTAAACTTCCAATCTAAATATGAACGAGTAACCATTTATGTTTTAATGGTTATGTATCTGAGGTCAAACTAAGTGTTGTTGATTGAAATGCTTTGAATGACACAACAAACATAACATCCATTACTATGGCATGCATAAGACACATATTATAACATTTTAGTATGAAATAATAATGATTGTATAATATTTACACTTCAGCAAACATATTAACAAGGTAACTGTGTAAATACAAACTAGTAATCATGTACTATTGAAATCATATTTATGTATGCAATTTTGTAAAACTCAATAACTATTGTTTAAAATGACTATCATGGACTTACTTGGTAAAATTTTAATCATTTGTCAAAATGTTATATTTATTAATAAAAGTTATTTTGCAAATAAAAGAAAGTGGTGTCATCGTGATGAAATTTCTCACCTAATTCTCAATGTATGTTTGAACAACTAACCAATTAGTGTTTAATGATTATTTATCTTAGATCATATTAATTATTATTCATTAAAATGCTTATAGTTGCATAAAAAAGGACCAACTATTACTATGACATGCATAACACTCACATGATGACATGTTAGGAAGAAATGATATTAATCTTTGCACATTTTAAACACTTCACCAAATGTAATAGGAAGGTAACCATTTAAGTACAAAGTAGTCACCGTCTATTTCAATACTCATATTTATGTAGGGATTTTTGGTCAACCTTGTTAATTTTATTTAAAAAGACTACCATGAACTTATTTGGTAAGAAATTAATCATTTTTGAAAATATTTTAATTATTAATAACAGTTATTTTATGAATAAAAAAATGTAACATAATAGAAACCAAATTCCTCACAAAACTCCCAATGTATTTGTGAAGGACTAACCATTTAAGTTTTAATGGTTGTGTATGTTAGGTCATATTAATTATGGTTCATCAAAATGCTTTCAGTTGCAGAACAAAGGAAACAACTATGTTAAGTGACAAAATTTACTAAAAATCTAAGCTTTTGTTAAACACTTAACAAAGTTTTTGCCTTAATTTTTACTAGAAATTTCTGTAGTTTAGAATAATTTGTGTATACCCTTGTTATGTAGGATTAAGTACAAAAATTGGAAACAAACCAATCAATCAGGGAAGAAAAATAGAAGATAAAAAAAGTTGACTTATCAATGAAGCAGGGTAACATTGCAGGGTAACACTCGCTCAAGCGATGCTTGACATTGCAAGGGCTGCCAAAAAAAAGTAGTGGCAAAGATTCAATTTTTGTGGTTGTTGATAGGTTTTCTAAAATGGATCATTTTATTCAATGTAAAAAATTGAATGATGCTTCTCATGTGGCTGATTTGTTTTTCAAGGAAATTGTGAGACTCGATGGTTTGCCAAGGAGCATTATTAGTGATAGGGACTCTAAGTTCCTAGGCCATTTTTGGAGGATCTTGTGGAGAAAGTTGGGAACTAAATTATTATTTTCAACCACTTGTTACCCACAAACCGATAGACAAACGAAAGTTGTTAATATGATATTGAGAGCATTGCTTAGGACAATTTTGAGGAAGAACTTAAAGAATTGGGAAGTTTGTTTACCCCATGTTGAGTTTGCTTACAATAGAGTTGTTCACACCACTAAAAATTGTTCTCCTTTTAAGGTTGTTTATGGTTTTAACCCAATAACTCCTCTTGATCTTTTGCCAATGCCTAATGTTTCAGTTTTTAAGCATAAAGAAGGTCAAGCTAAGGCGGACTATGTAAAGAAGCTTCATCAAAGAGCCCAAAAACAAATTGAGAAAAGAAATGAAAGTTATGCTAAGAAAGCCAACAAAGGGATAAAGAAGGTTGTCTTCCAACCTGGAGATTGGGTTTGGGTGCACATGAGAAAGGAAAGGTTTCCAGAACAAAGGAAATCAAAACTTCAACCAAGGGGGAATGGTCCATTCCAAGTGCTTGAAAGAACCAATAACAATGCTTAGAAAATTGAGTTACCCAGTAAGTATAATGTTAGCTCCACATTCAATGTGTCTGACTTATCTCTTTTTGATGTAGATGGCGAATCTGCTTTGAGGACAAATCCTTCTCAAGAGGGAGAGAATGATGGGGACATGACCATGAGCAAGGACAAGGATCCACTTGAAGGACTTGGAGGACCTATGACAAGGGCTAGAGCAAGGGAAGCAAAGGAAACTCTTCAACAAGTGTTGTCCATTTGAATACAAGCCCACATTTCAAGGAGAAAAGACCAAAGTTATGAATTGCATCATGGCTCAAATGGAGGAGGACTAATGCATCACTTTGTTTCAGTCTTTAAGTTTGTTTAAATAATGGCGCAATCCTTTATAAAATTGGCTGACCAAATTATGATTTGGATTAATTAATTAATGGGCTTTAGTTTTTTTTTTCAAGTTGTAATAAGGACCCAATTGGAAACTTAGGCGTCAACCTACGGAAGACCAAGATGATGCATAACTAATTAACTTTTGGTTGCCACAAATTTAGTTACAATCAGCATTAAGTAGTTTTCAATTCCTAAATTAATTGATCATTATTAGCATTTATTTGCCTTCATTAAGTAGTTTTCAACTTGATATGAATCTCAATTACACAAGGGATAATTTAGGATCTTTAGGGTTAGAACCTTGTAAGAAATTTAGGAATTAGAAAGAAGGTGGAAGGAAAGAATCACTCTTCCCAAGGGAGGCAACACACAAAGGATGTGAAAGTCCTTTGATACAGCTAAGGGTTCTGGAATCACTCAAGAATTTAGGAGAATCACTCTCACTAAGATAAAAGAGATA